CAATTAACTATGGTTTTAGAAGTCAGAATGGCGGTTACCTTCTAGGATAATGGAACCCCAGAAGTGTCATCTGGAGCTTTGGGGACATAGGTGACGTTCCAACCACTGAATGTCATTTCTTTTTTCTATTTTCCGCTATAGGGTGCATGTGCTCGCCAGACAGACAGAGAGAGACAGAGAGACAGAAAGCAAGAAATCACCCCCCAGGGGGGATGGTCATGCCACAATCCCTTCTCCTCCATTCTTCTCTTGGGATCTTGGGCACGCACACACATGCGCCTGGCATGAGTTTTAAGCCACCGGGTCTGGGACGCAAACCGCAGTTGACTACGTGGGAGTCCAGCAACATACCCATTACGCTAACTGCTGGTTCCCTGAATGTCATTTCTTGATCGGCATGCTGGTGGTACTTGTGAGTTAACTGAAAATTTTCATTGAGCTGTTTAAGGTGCTGAACTCCCACAAGATTGACCACAGTTTGAGCTCTGGACTCAGTGGCTTGAAAATCACACCGGGCCCATGTGCATGCATGCATACCCAGAATTATGAGAGGAGAATGAAGAAGGAATTTCCCAGAGCTGGGAGTATTTCTCACTTTCCCTTTCTCTATCTCTGTCTCTCTCTAGTGAGCCTATGTGCCCTAAGCAGAAACCTATAAAAAAGAAAAAAAAGAAAAAAAAAGATAAAGAAAAAGAAAAAAAAATTATTAGCTCTGAAGGGATGACAGAAAATAAAGACACCTGGAGAGATCTTAGGATTGGGTGTGAGGTGGGGTTTTCATTTTTTTCCTGGCAATACCTGAAAGTGTTTCTTAGCATTAAAAATGGGCTACTAGAGACAGAGACAAAGAGGGTGACGCTCAATGGAACAGGGCTCCTGAATCTTTGGTTTGGATGCAGGGAGAGAGGATGCTTTCAAAGGCTGGGAAGGGAGGCCAGGAAGCTGGGGGGAGCCTTCTATGGCTTCTGCCTCCTCTGCAGCATGAGAGTTAGGGTCCTGGCTGAGGGTAGAGGAGTCAAGAATGAATCAGTGTCTAAGGTGGGTGTGCATAGTGGTTTCTGTGAAGAGCGCCCCTCTGGAACTGGAGGCCACGGGCCTCAGGGGGGCCTGTAGTAGAAGGAGTGGAAAGTGGGCAGCTAGATTGGCTTGGTGGGGTTTTTGGAGAGGGATGCACCAGAGGAAGCTGGGAGCTGAAGCACTTGGCAGGAGAAGGCCTGAAGTGAGGGACGCAGGAAATCAGCTTAAAAGGGAGGGACAAGAAGGAAGATGACTTGCCTGGGCTCATATGAAAGGGTCTCACAGCATGAGAGAGCTGGCCAGATCCATTCTAAGCATTGGCAGTGAAGACTGATGAGGTGGAAGCCATTGGAACTGGGGTATCCTTTCTGTTCTAACCGATGATGCCTGTGAAAGTCGTCACCTGCAGCCATGTCGCTGAGCGTGTAACTGCCCATCAACCTGAGAGCTGTGGCTACTCAGAGGTGGGCTCTTTGGGGAAAACGTTTACCACGACCTATTTATCTTACACCATTCAGTTCAAGATTTGAGTGACTCTCCCCATAAAACTAGATCTCAGCACTCCTCCTGCTGTGCAACTGTAGAATTTCTTAGCCTCTCATAAGCATCTGTTTCCTTGGATATTAAATTAATGCATTTAATACTTATCAATATAGGATTATTCCAAGAAATTACCTTATGAAATACATGGTTGAAATATCTAGCATGCTGCCAATATTTGTGGGTGTTCAGCAACTGGCTACTATTACAGTTAACATTTCTATTCCTACTAGTTCTCAAGTCTCATTTTTTACAAAAATGATAGATATGGGATTAATGAAAATAAGACTCAGGCCAGCAGGTAGCATGGAGTTTAAGATGCTATATCCCACATGGCTAGCTGTGTAGTTCAAGTCCTGAAACTGGCAGCTTGAAAATCGCACATGGCACATATGTGTGCATGCCCAAAATCCCAAGAGGAGACTGGAGATAAGATTGCTGCATGGCCATCCTCTAAGGGGTGATTTCTCACTTTCCATCTCTGTCTGTCTGTCTGTCTGTCTGTCTCTGGTGAGTGCACATGCCCCATAACAATGCTGAAAAGAAGGGGGAAAAAAGGAAGACTCAGTTCTAAAGATGATTTGGGAACCTTTAGTAGGGAGGTGAGCACTCTACCTGCATTATAAAGCTTTCACAACATTTTGGTCACGGGTATGTATTGTAGCTCACCTTTGACTGTGTATGGGCTGAAACAGCAGCCAAGGGGCCATGCCCTTCCCCCTTCCCCAAAACTCGCTCTCACACATGCAAGTGAAACCTTGAGCTCAGCTTCACCCCATACCTGTTCTTGCTTGGAGCCAGCATCCAACCAGGGCAGATCACCATCCAGCAAAAAGTCGTTTACATAATAGCTATGGGAGGCCTGCCCAGGAATACTGGCCAAAGCCAAAATGCCATTTGCAGAATCGGAAAGTAGAGTTTTTCTTCAGTGACTGGACAGAACATTAAGTGTAAGGATGGTCAGCTAATGAGTAGAAGGTGGGAAATGGATCTCATATTTCTGAGACGGGAGCTTGGGTGGCAGTGCGTCTCTCCGATGTACCAGAGAGAGGATCAAAGGAAGTCCTGTGATTTGATTCTGCAGCCTACGAAGGATTAGGCTGTTTGTCCATGTAAGCCGCTGGAAAAAATGTCTGTCATGTTAAGACACACTGCCAGAGTCATGTATTTGTCCTGAACTAGAAGAGCAAACAAGTGTTTCTGAACACTTGTCTCTGACCTCCAACTTGCCCTCATGGTGTTCAAGAGGTTGCTGTCAGCATTCACTTCTCCTTCATCCTGTGGAGCCAAGATGACTTAAGGACATAATTTGAAGATTTCTAGGAATATTTTAAAGTTCTATGTATATATTTCTTAAATATACAACATTTTCCTAATATAAAATCATACTCATGTCATACACATTTGTTTCTAAAAGGTGTGAACTTTTCTGGTCCTGTTGGTGAAGAAACAGGCTTATCCACAATAACTTAGCAGACCCGAACAACTATTATTACTATTGTGTGTGTGTTGGCCTGAACTGAATGGAGGCTTTAGAAATTTTTCGTCAATGAAGACAATTTTCTCTCAAGCACCTCAGACCATCCACCCCGAGGTTCTATTAAGCATGACCGAATTCAGCCAGCCTCACGGATCTAAAGCTCAGGACTCAATTTTGTGACAGCTGTGGCTTCATACCTGTATCTGGGGGATGTTTATCAGAAACTTCCAGAACCTGTGAGTCCACAGGTGCAACTGCCAGGTGACACTGTAATACTTGCGGGCCTGGGAACTCTGTGGGGTTTGTATATGAGAAACAGCTCTCCGAAATTTCCTTATGGGCCTGAGTTTGAGAAAAGATGCTGGAGTAAAAGGACAGGAGAGAGAAAACAGATCTCAGACACTTTTTCTTTTCAGAAGGTAGGCGTTTTAACAGGTATCTGATAGGGGGAAAGTGTCGCTTTTGAAATCACGTGGTTTTCTGTGTCCCTAGAATCACCTCTTGAAAGTGCCAGAGCACAGGTTAAAAAGCCCCCGGCACACAGCTTGGTCAGAGGCATGTGTCTGTCTGTCGAATTCAAAGACAGGGCCATAACTGATGCCTTCCTCTCTGACAAATAGGTCACCAACACATTGAGCAAACAGGCCGCGTGGATAAAATTACAAGAGCAACTTTATTTTTGTCTCCATCTGTTCCTTAAGCTCACTCAGCTCAGTGGGGGCAGTTCTTTTTCTGTTCCTGGATAAAAACTCAGGCATCTCATGCCGTTTTGGATCACTTGCAGGCCATGGCATGTCACACACAGTCTTACATCGGAGTTACGAGTGTCAGTCCACAGTAGGGATCAGTACACTCGATTGCGACTTCTCCCCCTCCCCAGCCAGAGCTAGCTGCAGGCTTGGCAGTGAGAGCGTGAATTATATCCTTAGGTCTTAAAGCAGCCCTGGGAGGTGAGTGTTATTGTCCTTACTTGACAGGTGAGAAAACTGAGAAAGGAGAAATGGCTTGCCAGTGTCTATACTGGCAGTGAGTGGCAAGGCCAGGATTGGAACCCTGTCAGATTTGTCCAGCAGCAACACCAGAGTGGTGTCTACTCTGACATTAAATGGTGGCCAAGCTGACCTCCTTTCCAGCCTGCTGTGCCCTGGTCCCCATTCTCCCTACCTCTATCCTCTGCATCATCCTAGCAGCCCCTGGCTTCCTTAAGGCCTCTGAGGACCAGTTCTCATGAGCAGTAGTAAGAGGTTGTCAAGACAGAACAAGAATGCCTTTGTCTCACCTCTGCCAATGAGCAGGTAGGAGGGACTACCCCAACCCTCTGGACCTCCTGGGCCTTTCTAGGTGTCAGGTGCAGCAGGGACGTTCTCTGCAAGCAGACTGCTGGATTCAGACCAGCCCTTCTCAGGTCCAGAGAAGAAACATAGAGCACTGGGTGCCTGTGAAGGGACCGAGATCTGAGAGCCCGTGTTTCCTGAGGGAGGCAGGGGAAGGTAAGGCACAGGACACGAGAGGTTGACCATTCAGGCCTTAAGGCTCCCACCTGTGCAGCCATGTCACCTGCCTTCAGGCCCCAAGCTGCCAGGAATCTCACGGTAGGCTTTCAGTGACTGTAAAATGAAAGTCCTTGAAGGAGCAGTCATTGGCCTGGAACTCTGGAGGTGGCTGAGGGCCAAGACCAGAGACTTGGGGTGACAGCCTGATAGCAAAGGCCGCTGACTTGGGCACTGTTCTCAAGGAGTTGCATTTGAGCTCCCAACTAATTTGCCTTCTTGCTTTCTTTTTTCAGGAAACCCAAAAGGTGCGATGCTCACCCATGGGAACGTGGTGGCTGATTTCTCAGGCTTTCTGAAAGTGACAGAGGTGAATAAAGTAGATTCATTAGTACAGGTGTCTCTTGAGGACAACCTGAAGCTTCAGAGGTTTTTAAACATTTTTTTTTCTTTTTTTCCTGATGTAATCTGGTCTGCCCTTCACAGTCAAGAGTTTCTGTTCTCATTAGAGCAACTCCACTTTTACAGTCATTTTGAACTTCAAACACTGAAATACCATGAGCCATACCTGGTAACTATTCCATTAATTTCTAAGAGTGCTATTATCCCAGAAAGAAAAGCGTATGTAAGCCTATTTTGCACTTTCAACTTCAACACTGGAGAGACCCATGGTTTTGTACTTATCTTTACCTAGAAAGTATTCTTTAATCACTTGTTTTTCCAGTAGGTCAGGGTTTAATTCAATCATTCGGTGTTTAAGAACTACTAGAGTCTGAGAAACAATGGCAACTGTTAATTTATAAGCTTGTACTTAAAGGTAAATCTAAAATCAAAAAAGCTTGATATCCGGGTCTGACAAAAGCATATTAGCATTTTATTACCGGCTGAGAAAGGAGGACCTTTCCCACAGGTGGTGAGTATGTCCTGCAGTTTCCTACAGAAGAAAGAAATGGACCTTTTCATAAACGTGAGGCCTTTAGTCCACTGTGGGGACAGTCCCTCTCCGTGTCCATGCTAGAGGACATTATGGAGCACATGCCCAAACAGTTCTTTGGTGGAAATCAGAGAGGCTGTTGGTGGCTGTGCCCAGGTTAGGAGTGGTGAGCCAGGTTTGCGGGGTATGCTCGGCATCATCCAGAAGCCAGCCCAGGAGAGCAAAGGCCTCTGCCAAAGAGAAATCCAGCAGGCAGAGCTCCTGAAGGCAGGGCCTGACCCAGAGCCCAGGCCTGGTGTAGGGCCCTGCCTGGTCGGCCAACCCCTGGCCCTAGGGTTAGTCCATGAGCCAGGCCGGGACCTTACCTTTGCTGGGGGGGGGGGGTGTCACAGTAGCATTAACTCCCAGCCTTCTCCTTTAAGACCCCTGTCCCAAGCCATGGCTTGGGAGGCCAAGTCTGGCCACTTTCTCCCCTCTTCTGGCTGGGGCTTGCACCCCAGCCTTGATTGGCATAGACTTAGGGTTCTCTTGGGCTCCTTTCTCTGGAAGGACTAGAAAGTGCTGACAAATCAAGACCCTCTGAATCTCTGCCCAGGTGGCCCAGGGAGACTGGGGAAGTGGGGCCTGGGACAGATCCCACAGTTGTGGGGAAGAAGGGGAGAGAGCCCTCCAGCTGACTGCAAGTGAGACGTGGGCGCCCCCAAGGGGAGACTTCGCTGCGGAGCTCGGCTCTGCTGGTTTATATGTGCTTCATTTGGCTCTTTGCTTCTGCAGATAACCTAGACCCACTGGGCTGCGACCTAACACTCAGCTTCCTGCGCTGCCCTGTCTCTGTCTTTTTCCTTCCTGCACCTTTCCCCTCTCCCTCTCCCTCGCCCGCCTTTTCTCTCTTTCTCTCTCATGTCCCTCCCTCATCTCACGCCTCTCTCTGTCCTCACCACCCCATCCCCCTTCCCCCTCTTCCTATTTGCCCCTCCAGGACCATTTTTTCTCTTTATTGTTTTTTGACTTTCTTGTCGTCTTCCTGTCAGTGTTTCTTTCCTTTCTGTCTCCCATGCCCGTCACCTGCAGAAAGTGATCTTTCCGAGACAGGACGATGTGCTCATCTCCTTCCTGCCTCTGGCTCACATGTTTGAGAGAGTAATCCAGGTAAGACGCCCACCTGACTGACCGGGCCTTGCCGGGGCTCCTTCTGTTTTCTTGCAGAGTCAGTGGGCTCCCACTTGTGCGGATGTGCACATTTCCTATTTGCCTTTAGCACACATGTTTGAGCGAATGGTGCAGGTAAGGCCCTGGCCTAGAACCCATAACCCTAGCTGGGTGTCACTTGTCACTGGTGGCATGAAGTAGGACCAAAGTGCCCCATCCTCAGAAGGTACCACAGGGATTGCAAGGGTTGGAGGACCTTAACCACCCCACCCCTCCCTCCCTTTATGGCTCCAGGGAAGACCCCAAGCATGCCCTGTCTCACTCAGGGGCATACCTCCATTTAAACAGCCCCCAGCTGATGACGTCTGCTCAGGGAGCACTGAAGCTTTGTGGAAGCAGTTTGCCATTAAAGTTCAGGGCAGGGCAGTCCCATTTATGGCTCCTTCTTTGTGTCCTCTAACTTTCGTCACTCGCAAACTCCTTAAAAAGAAAACTAAAGTTAAGCCATCAAACTGTCATGGCCCCTCAGGCTATAGATGGGGACTAGTGATAGCCAGGCCCTGAACACAGAGACACAGGAGTGGGCGGAGGAATCCATATGTGATTGTGGGAAAGAATCGTCCGTGCATGGGTCACTCAAGGACCAGACTGTGAATAAGCTGTGTCTTCTAAGCCTTTCCCATTTTGCCTTGTGGGAGATCTGGTATAATGGGACGTGCTTTCCAGACCTGGAGTGAAATGCCAGCTACCACTGTTAACTAATTTTGTGACCTTGGGCAAGTCACTTCACCTCTTTGAGCTTTACATTTCTCGGTAAAATGGGGATTAGGAGTACTCCCTCCTTTATAGAATTGCTTTGAGCATTGAAGAAAGGAACACATGTAAGGTCATTGGTGTACTCCTAGTCCCATTAGGAACCAGCCATGCTCACACCCGTGGCCAACTTTACCAGCATCACCAGTACTCCTGGGGACTGCATGCCCTTCCAGAGTTGCAGAGGTGTACCTGGGGAAACCCAAAGACTCTTTAAGGCCCGAAGCAGACCCAGCATTGTAGGGTGTAAGAGATCTCAAGAGACTTGAGTTCCCTAGGAGACTCAAGCCCAGAGTATGGTAGTTGGGATGAGGGAGCCTGAACCAGTGCTAACAGCTGCTTTGGCATCTCCCAGAGGCTCAAGATTGCTCTCTATCTCCTTCCACTTTTCCCTGCTTTAGTGGGACTTAGCGGGAAGGTAGGGGTGGGGGGAGAATCACCTCAAATAACATTCTTCAGTGTCTCATGGCAGCAGCCAGAGCTGAGTCTGGGGGTCCTAGGTGCCCTCCATGTAGGGCAGAACGTTGGGCAGCTCTGGACTGCAGCCAGGAGTGACTGCCCTAAGGGACTCCTCCCTTCCTGTTCTCTCCCTCCAGTCTGTTGTCTACTGCCACGGAGGACGCGTTGGCTTCTTCCAGGGAGACATCCGCCTCCTCTCAGATGACATGAAGGCTCTACGCCCCACTATCTTCCCTGTGGTCCCACGTCTGCTGAACAGGATGCACGACAAGGTGGGCCCTGCAGGGAGTCCCTGGCCAGACTAAGGCTGCATATCTGCTTGTATGGACAGGGTCTGGAGCCCAGGCAGACTTTCCATGCCTCTCCTCCCAGCTCTTGGAAGTACTCCTGTCTTGTATTCCCTCAGTTTTTCTTTTCCCCTGTCTTGTATTCCCTCATTTTTTTCTCCTGTTTGCTTTCTATTTCCTAAAACCTGGGCTAGAGAGGTTTTCTTCAGCAACTTTCATCTCCACAATATACCCGAACCTTTTTTTGTGTTAACCTTCAGCTCAATGTCACATATTTAGTGACTTCCTCCAGGGGTAAAATGGAGGATGGCTTCTCTGCTGGCCAGTGTTGGGGGATATGTCTGTAGGTGAGACATGCAGGCCCTGACAGCTGCATCTGACTCGTGTGTTTCAGATCTTCAGCCAGGCAGACACGCCATTGAAGCGCTGGCTCCTGGAGTTTGCAGCAAGGCGTAAGCAGGCTGAAGTCCGGAGTGGAATCATCAGGAATGATAGTATCTGGGATGAACTCTTCTTTAATAAGATTCAGGTAAGAAGATGAGTAAGTGATTAGAGAGTAATACCTAAGTTTCTGATCAGTGGCCTTGTAGGGA